TTTGTTGAGGTATTGGATTTGTGCTCACTAGATTGTTCCTACTATTGCTAGTCTAATTTTGGCTGTAATTCCTAGCTTGATCAAAGCCCTTTCCTTTTGAGTTGAAATTTCTTCCATTATATCCTCCACCTCGTTGTCCTCTTCCTCTTTGAGCTACAAACACCTAAGCATATGGTGGGACCTTGTCTTTGGTTTCTTGTTCTGCCACTTGAATGTCTCTTTCATTGTTTAGTAATCTTGCAGTATATTGACTAAAGGAAGGATAAGGTGCCTTTGATAATACTGCCAAATTGTAAGGTTGATACCTTGTCCCCACAACTCTAGATAATTGGAACACTTTGTCAAGATCATCTAGAGGCTTACGAATTGCAGCTAAACTGTCACAGATCCCTTTGAATTTTCTTATGAAATTCTCAAGTGATTCATTGTCTCTTTTTTTGATTGCCAATTCACCTTTGAGGTGCAATTCCTATTCCTTTGAAGAGGCAAGATAATGGCCTTCTAGACAATTCCAAATATGAAGAGTTGTTTCACACCTAACAACTAGGCTGAGTGCCTCTTCACTCATAGTCCCGAGTAGCCAACTGGTTAGCAACCCGTCATTACTCAACCAGACTTCATAGGCTGGGTTTGACTCCTCTTTACCATCTTTGATAATACTTCTAGGTGGAGCCTCTTCTTGAAGATGATGCATCAGTTGGGCACTCCTAATGAGTGGATAAATTTGTGACTTCCATAACAAGAAAATTGGTACTTGACAACTTGACCGAGACCAAGCTTGCCATCTAGTGGAAGCTTTGAATGGTAAGTGTATTCTTGTTTTTGGCCATGGTGTGTACTGATTTGTTGATTTGTAAGGAGAAACAAAGGAACTAATCAAATAAGGCAAAAGTATTCAAATGCAGATTGTGACCTGCTTTGATACCATGAAGAAAAGCCAGAAAAGAAAGATTTTTGAAATATTGTATTGTATCGAATTGAGTTAATTCTGTACAAGCATATATTAGTGTATATATGTACAGTAATGTATCTAGATCCTAAATGTATGTCATAAATCATGGGCAAAAACGTTGCTTGTGACCGTTGCTTGTGACCGTTGCTTGTGACCGTTGCTTAATTTCTCCTTAAACTGAGCTTTATGATTGACAGCTATAGACTCCTTTTTCTTGCTGATATCTCTTGTTTCCTTTTCCTTGTTGGTATCTTCTGTTTCCTTCTTTACTTGTTTTGATTCACTTTTCATAATGGGGTTCAACGTGAATCGATTCTGAATTAGTCGGACTCAAAGTGGTTATTGGATACCGAAAAGTTAATACCAAGAAAATAATATAAAAAGATTGTGTCTAAATTATTTTTGGCTTAATTCAAAAAATCATCTATTAACTTTCAATTTAATTTCAATTTCATCTATTATCTTTGAATTGTTTCAATTCTGTCTATTATCTTTTACATTTATTTCAATTTCATCTAGGCAGTTAAAGTTAACAGAAATCCTAACGAAAATCTTCTTAAACCTTAGTACTCTAACTATGTTTCTTTTAATCTTTTAGTCCTTAAATTTATATTCACAGTAAAAATAGTTTTTATTCGTATTTTGCTAAATGTGTTTTTCAAAAAATTGTTTTACAGAGCAGACTACTTTCAGTCCACCCTGTAAAATTATTTAAATACCCTTAATTCTATTTTTATATTATTTTTTTATGAACATTTAAATAATTTTATAAAACAGATTGTACATAGTTTGTCTTATAAAATATACTTACTCTTAAAATTTCTTATTCTGAACTTACTGAATTTATCTGTCTGAATTATAATCTATCTCTATAAACTATTTTTTGATTCATCATATTTTATTAGGATTTAAGTGTCACTTTTTTAAAACTCAAACGACTGCTCTTTCTTCAAATCTAACGGCAATCTAACGTCCTCTTTGTATGGTAGACTAATTTGAAATATTTTTCAAAGTTTCTAGATCATTTAGAAACGAAATAAACTTTCTAGACTAAACTGAAATTAAACTGAAAGTTAGTAGATGATTTTTTGAATTAAGCCAATTATTTTTTAATAAAAATACTATATGATTTTTTTTTTATAATTGTAAGAATTTTATTTTTGATAGGTAAAATTAAGAATTCAAACTTAATTTTGGGATTTTATGACTGAGTTGGTTTGTTCCCCAGATACCACTAACATAATCATGTTCTTGTTTTAATGTTGTTGTCGTTATCTACCAAAAAAAAGAAAAAAAAAAAGAAAAAGATTATTTGGACCAAAACCTAAGATAAATTTTGAGGTTCGTTAAGGATGATATGATAATGGAGAAAGATAAGAAGTCGAATGCGAAGACGAAAGCCAAGATGAAAAGAAATGCGTGCAACAACAAAGAGATAATGATCCAGAAGAGATTAAAGAAGTTGATGGTGGTAATACTACTACTACAACTGGTGCAAGGATGAGGAGTAGGGGTGGTGCAAGAAGTTTGATGGTACT